GGCATTATGGTGAGTGAAATTAGTCGGTTGCAAAGGGACAAATACTGTATAAGACCACTATTATACAAACTCAAGAAAAGGTTTAAACACAGAAGAAAACATTATTTGATGGGTACAAGGGCGGGAAGAGAGGGAGAAGGGTATTCACTAACTAGATAGTAGGTAAGAACTATATTAGGAGAAGAAAAGGACAACACATGATACAGGGCAAGTCAGCACAACTGGACTAAACCAAAAGCTAAGAAGTTTCTTGAATACAACCAAACACTTTGAAGGTCAGAGTAGCAGGGGCGGGAGTCCAGGGACCATGGTTTCAGGGGACATCTAGGTCAAGTGCCATAACAAAGTATTTTAAGAAAATGTTCTGCATCCCACTTCGGTGAGTGGCTTCTCGGGTGTTAAAAGCTAGCAAGTGGCCATCTAAGATACATCAATTGGTCCCAACCCACCTGGAGTAAAGGAGAATGAAGAACACCAAAGACACAAGGAAAATACTAGCCCAAGAGACAGAAAGGGCCACATAAACCACAGACTCCAGCCTGAGACCAGAAGAACTAGATGGTGCCCAATGACTGCCCTAACAGGGAACACAACAGAGAGTCCCTGATGGAGCAGGAGAAAAGCAGGATGCAGAACTTAAATTCTAGTAAAAAGACCAGACTTAATGGTCTGACTGAGACTGGAGGGACCCCAGAAGACATGGCCCCCGGACTCTGTTAGCTCAGAGCTGAACCCATTCCCGAAGTCAACTCTTCAACAAAGGTTAGAGTGGACTATGGGACATAAAATGATACTTGTGAAGAGAGTGCTTCTTAGCTCAAGTAGATACATGACACTAAATGGGCAGCTCCTGTCCGGAGGTGAGATGAGAAGGCAAAAAGGGACAGGAGCTGGTTGAATGGACACGGGAAATCGGGGATGGAAAGGAGGAGTGTGCTGTCACATTATAGGGAAAGCAGCTAGGGTCACATAGCAATGTGTGTATAAATTTTTGTATGAGGAACTGACCTGAACTGTAAACTTTCACTTAAAGCACAATTAAAGCAATAAAAATTCTACTGCTGTAGAAAAGTATATACAAGTAAATTTTGTATAATGAAATTATCAAAGTTGCAGGTAAATGTAATTGATTCAACAAATAATTATTGGGAACTATTATGTTCTAGGTGCTTGGGATAAATCAGTGAAAAAGACAGATTAAGAATCTTTCCTTAGTTAATAAGGAAAACAGATAATAAACAGTAAAAAAATACATCATGTATTATATTGGAAGGTCACAACCATGTTAAAGAATACATCAGTTAAGGGAGGGGATTGACAGTAACAGCGGAAGAGTAGGCAAACTGCAGTATTAAATGGGTGGTCAGGGTGAGTTCCTGAGAAGTAAATTAGACCAAAGACTTGAAGAGGGTGATTATTAGAAGTGGGGTCTTGGGGAAGAGCATTCTGGGCAAAGGAAAAGAATAGAAGCAAAAACCTTAAGAGAAGGTGGTTAGAGCAGAGTAAGCAAGCAAGACGAAAATGAAATACGAATTTATTTAAGAGATAATAGGCAGCAGATAAGGTAGGGTCTTGTAAGCCACCGTAAGGTCTTTAGCTTTTGTTCAGTGAAGCAGGGATAAAGTTTTAAACAAAAGAATGACATGATCTGACCTCAGCTGGTATGCTGACAGGCAGAGATAGAAACATGGAGATGATAATTTTGATGAGGGTGAAAGTAATCTAGTAAGGGAGAAGCAATCAGATTCTGGGTATGTTTTGAAAGTAAATAGAATCTCCTGACGGATTGGATATGGGGTATGAGAAAGAAAAGAGTAAAGATTCTTGGCCTAAGCAACTATTAGGAGAAGATACCATGAAATGATCTAGTAAAGGCACGTAGGTAGAGCATTTTGAGGGTTGGGGATGAGATAAGGAGATCTTTTGGACATGTTAACTTTGAGATTTCTCACAGACATCCAAATACAAATACTGAGTAGGCAGTTAAAGAGACTAGAGTTTGGGAGAGAGGTGGGGGTTGGAAATAGAAATCTGTGACTCATCAGCATATGAAACTAAATTTGCTCACAAAGGGAGTGAGCGTAGACAGAGAAGGGGTCCAAGGATTAACCCTGAGGCACTCCAAAATTATGAGGCCGGGAAAAAAAAAATCAGGACATAAGATTGAGAAGGGGTAAATAGTGAGACAGAAATAAAAACCTAAAGTATATGATATCCTTGAAAGCTAACTGAAAGAGGGGTATTAAGGAAGAGGGAGTGATTATCTGTATCAAATGCTAGGTGAAGTAAGATGAGGTCTCAGACTGACTACTGGATTTAGCAATGTGAAGGTCATTGGTGACACGATGAGAGCAGTTTCAGTAAGACGGGGCTAGGGTAGCAAAGGCTGACCGTAGTGTGTCTAACAGCAAATGGGAGGATAGGAATTGGAGACAGTGAATATAGACAAATACTTTCAAAGAGTTTTGCTATGAAGGAAATAAAAAATGGGGCAGTAACTGGTGGGGCAACTGAAGTGAAAAAAAGCTAAAAGAACAGAACAGAGATTTCATCTGCTGCCCACCAGAGAAAAGAGAGAGTATGGAATTTGACTCTGGCCAAGTTAATGATCAGATGAAACATACAAACAAAAAAAAAACAGTACTTTTCAGAAGAATGTAATAGAATTGAGTCTCTACAATATATCATTTAAAATGTCCAAGATATAATCCAAAATTACTAGACAAAGACACAGGAAAATGCAACTTATCAGATATTAAAATTCACAAAGATTAATTTTAAAGTAATTGTTATAATTACGCTCAATGATGTAAAAGAAAATCTGCTCAAAATAAGAAATAGGAAATCTCAGAGAAATTAGAAGCTATAAAAAAGGACCAAATGGAAAATTTAAAAATAAAAATAAAAGATCTGAAATTTTAAAATTTACTGGATGGACTCAGCAGTATATTGGAGATGACAAACAAGTCAGTGAACCTGAAGATAGGTAAATGGAAAGCGTTTACTCTGAAGAAAAAAAAAAACTGGAAAAAATAATAGAGCCTCAGAGATCTGTGGGATAACATCAAATGGTCTAAAATATGTGTGACTGGAATCTCATTAGGAGAGAAAATGGAGCAGAAAAAAAGCTGAAGGAATAATTAGCCAGATTTTCCCCAAATCTGGTTAAAAAAAAAAAAAAAAAAGATAAATTTAAAAATTCAACAAGCCTAGCAAATCCCAAGCAGAATAAACAGAAAGAAAAGCACGCATAAACATAAAATGCAGACCGGTAGGTGAAAAAATCTACTGTGCCCTGATGACATACTGTATGATTCCAATTATGACATTCTGGAAAGGTAAAACTATAGAGATAGTTAAAAAGATCAGTGGTTGCCTGAGGATCAGGGGAGGGAGTAAGCATGAAGAGGTGTAGCATAGCAGACTTTCAGGGGACTGAAACTATTCTATCTGATACTGTAATAGCATATACATGATATCTGTCAAAACCCAAAGAATTGTACAATACAAAGAGCAAACCTTAATGGAACCTATGGACTTTAGTTAGTAACAATATACCTACTCCTCACTTACCGACTCCCTCATTACCCGATATTTCACATTTACAACAATAGTAAAAAAATCTACCATCCAATTATTTTGTGCATTAACGATGCGCATCTGGTAGTAATGAATGCTGAGTTTGTGAGGCAAGAGTAACGCTGGCTGTGATGGCTAAGGTTATGTGTCAACTTGGCTGGGCCACGATTCTCAGTGGTTTAGCAGTTATGTAATGGTATAATTTGACAGTTATGTAATGATATAATTTGGAAGTTATGTAATGATGTAGTCATTCTCCATTTTGTGATCTGATGTGGTCACCCTCTATTTTTGCACAATGCCAGTTTTCACACAACGACATGGTCTTTGGAACCTAACCATGTCAATAAGTGAGGAGTGGGTGTATATCAATATACGTTCATCAACTGTAAGAAGTGTACCACACTAATGCAAGATATTAATAACAGAAGAAACTGTGACGGGTGAGAGAGGCATATATGGAAACTCTCTGTACTTTCTGTTCAATTTTGTATAAACCTAAAACTTCTTTAGAAATAGTCTTTTTATTAAAAAAGAAAAGCACACCTAGGTTCATCATAGTTAAAAGGTTGAAAACCAAAGATAAAAAGTAGCTACAGAGAAATACAACAATATAAATTACAGTAGTTCCCCCTTATCCGTGGGGAATATGATCCAATACCCCTCATGGATACCTGAAACCATGGATAGTACTGAACTCTATATATACTATGTTTTGTCCTATACATACATGGGTATGATAAAGTTTAATTTATAAGTTAGGTACAGTAAGAGATTAACAATAACTAATAATAAAATAGAACAATTATAACAATAAACTGTAATAAAAGTTATATGAATGTGGTCCTGGGGTGGGATGGAGTGAGACAGTATGAGATTTCATCACATTTTCAGACCCTGGATGACCGTAGCTTACTGAAATCATGGAAAGCTGCGGATTGTGGCGGTGGTGGTGGTGGTGGTGGGGGGGTGGTACTGCAATACTGATTTCTCTTAAAAAACAATGGAAGCCTGAAGACTGTGGAATGACATATTTAAAGTGCTGCAAGGAAAAAACTGTCAACCCAGAATCCTATAGGCCAGTGAAAATAACCTAAGTAAATACAGGTGAATAAAGACTGTTTAGATAAAAAAAGTCTAACAGAATGTCTTTAGCAGATCTGTACTAAAAGAAATGCCAAAAGAAATTTTTCAGACTAAAGGGAAATGATACTAGATAAAAACCTGAACTGTAAGGATGAAGAGCAACAAAAATGGTAAACAGGTGGGTAAATATAAAACATATATTTTCCTCTGAATATATTTAAAATACAAATGGCTGTTTAAAGATCTAACTGATGGTTAAAATAAATAATAGTCTCAAAAGTGATTTCTCCTTTTTTATTCCCCTCATCCCTCATATTTACAGGAAAGCACAATACCTGTTTTAGTTTCAAAAAGAAATTTTCAGTAGTACTACGTTTGCTGAAGGGCCAGAATAATCTTTCATTAGGTGAGCAAACGCGGACTTTTGTCTCTAAGAGAAATCGAACAGGCTCCTGTACTTCTGTTATTACCAAATCGACAGCTGTGGTCATAAACAGTACTTTATCTACAGAGAAAGAGAGAAGAAGCAAATTAAAAAGATGAAAATAGTCTTACTCATGTGATTAATGTAAAAGTGATTACTCTTATTAAAAACTTAAAGCTATCTTAAGGTAAAACCATCAAATAAACATCTAAAATAATCAAATCACTATTTTAAGACAAAAAAATTCCTGTATTAGAAATTATTTACTTGAGTTGACTCTTAGAAGTGGAATATGTAAGTGACAGTGGTATACATCTGAAGTCTTATACTGTCAGATTGTTTTCCAAAAGTGGCATACGGTTTCTTTATGCCATCCTCACCAACACTGGAAATTCTTAACTTTTAAAATCTTGGTTGAAAATGGTATCTCATATTTTTAAATTTTCTAATTACCATTAAGGTAAACTTTCCCTCATACTTACCAATCAGTTCTGTGAACTGTCTGTTATATCCTTTATCCATTTATCCGTAGAATAAAATGAGGGGGGAGGAATAAATGCTCAGTAACAGGCACTAGTTAAGCAAATAATGTTACATTTACAGGGTGAAATATTATGCAGCCATTAAATGAAATTCAGGAAGAGTACAAGGTTGTTTATACATAGAATAGCTCTGAAAAGCTACGCAGAAAGCTGGTAAGAGTCGTTCCTTTTGGGGAGGGGCCCTGGGACTGTGATTGACTTACTTTCCTTCTATACACTTTTGTACCCTTTGAATTTTTAACCATATGTAAGTGTATTACCTCACTATAAAAATAAATTTATAAATCTGTAAATAAACAGAAAGGAAGAAAAAGAAGAGGGGAAGGGAAAAATGGACAGAGAGAAATAATAGAGAATGATACTTTGTTTACTGGTCAAATTTATTAATATACTCAAAGAACTATTCAAATTCCTTGGTTTCACCAGATTTAGGGAAAGCACTGTACTGATCAAACAGCAGTCTTAGGATTTAAGGATGTTCTTGGGGCTAAAACTTCTGTTCATGACATCAGCAATCTGAATATTATTATCAGAAATGAATGCCACATTTGTGTAAGTCAGCACCTTTGGGAGTTTCTTCATTTACAACTTGAAAATGTGGAGATTTTGGGTTCCAGCTCCCAGTAATAACATAGGACTTTCCATCTGAACTCTTGCCCATAGATTCCTAAAGAAAAAGAGTAACAACAAATCTTAATGCCAAAGTGAGTGAATGATAGCTAACCCCCATTTCGCTGTCTTTAAAAAATACTATTGTAAGAGATGCAAAAAGATAAGAAAATGAAACATTGGATCTTTTTTTAAAAGCAAAAGTGATATGAATGATTACAGTTCACATTAGATGTGCCAATTATTTATGCAATTGTCCCTGAAAAGTTTTATAAAGTGAATGCCTTTAAATCAAATCAAACTGTACAAATATTAGGGAGATTCACTACCTAAATCCTATGTTGACTTCTTCTGTCAAGTGAATAATTACCACATTATTTTTAGTTTTGCAAGTAAAGAGTTTCATATAATAGCATAACACTAACACCGTCAACCATTTGTAAAGCACATCACAGTTTGCAAAGAATTCTCTCATAAATTTCCTCCTTTGCTTTTCTTATCACCCCTACACGATACATAAAGGAGAATTATTATCACCACCGCACAGTCAAGAAACCAAGGCTGGACTAAGTAGATTACTTATCCAAGGTCAAAATAATAAATAGTAAGTCAGGAATAACGAAGCTCCCTTATCTTTGTATACTGCTTTACAGCTTACAAGAACACATTAATAAACATGTTTTTATATTAGATTCAGATAAGATAAAGTGAGATGACCTTTACTGAGGAAACAGTATATAATTTTCCAATAAAAAGCAATTCTTACCAAATCTAACAAGTGCATGTCGCTGTTTCGTACATCTTTTCCTGGGCTAAGAAGAAGACCAAAACACCTGTAAAAGAAGAACTGACATTAATTTGGAGAAAAGATAACACAAAAGAACTTTTAAACTAGGTCACTTAAAAAAAAACCTTACTGATGGAAAAGGATACTTAATAGAATTATCAATAAATTGGTTGTTTTCAACATTACAATCCTTACTTCTTTACAGTAATTGAGATAACCTAAGTTAGCACACTAGTTAAAGATTTATAAAAGCTATTTCAAAGTCATCAGAAAAAGGGAAGATTCTCAACGAGATGGATTGACACGGTAGCTACAATAATGAGCTCAACCATAACAACAATCATTACAATGGCACAGGACCAGGCAGTGTTTCGTTCTGTTGCACACAGGGTCACTATGAGTTGGAACCGACTCAACGGCACCTAACAACACCAAGCATTTCAAAGTGGATGAAGCAATCATCCCCTTATTAACCAAAAGAATTCTCTAAGGAACAAAATAATTTGCAGATACATTTTTGAATACAGTATATGGCTCTTCATTAGACTGATAAAAACTAAAATTGATATTTCAGCTAAACTTACTAAAAACACTTACCTTTCAATAGCAAGTTCTTTATTAGTTGTTTGCTGCACATAGATGACAATCTTCTTATCAATTCCTTGGCGTAGTTTAAAGCATTGTCTGTCCTTATCTTTGGGAACTGCACTGTAGACCAACATGTTTCATTAATTTTGCACAGTATTTTCTTGTCACATATACTAGAACAATTTTTTTAAACAAAGATCTCAAATGTCTGATTCTTTTCTGTGCCTGGTTTTCAATAATATAAAAAGAAAGAAATTATTATCTGCCTCTTGATGTAAAAATATTCTATAATTTATCTTACTGCATTTAATACACTAAAGCATTTATAAAAGCTAGAAAAACCACTCCTATGCCTCCTAAAACGTGGCTTGTGTTTTCCCTATTTTGTTGCTGTGAAAATTAGATATCTGTAAAAGACCTAGCATGGCATCTAACACACAGACACTCAAAAAAACAAAAAAAAAGTATCCTTTCCTTTATATTTGGTTACTGGTTTTTACAAATAAGACAGTAGCCATATCTGTTTAAGTATATAATGAATAAAAACATACTTAAACATACATCCTTTGAATTTCAATACAAGTTGCCTTTAAAAAATAATAGAGATGAGGAGGATATTCCCAACATTAAGCTGCTACCTAACTGTTATCACCCTTAAGCAGTGCTAACCTGATCACTGTGTAATAATTATACACCTGTGTAATAAGTATAAAAATACTAGTGATATAGTTAATAAACATCAACTTAATAAGAGAGTTGAAAATATTCTTAAAATGCCAGTTTACCAAAATAATCCCCTAGTCTCCCACACACCACTTGCTCTAGCTTCTTTATTCTTTAAGGCAAACATCTGCCTATGGCAATCAGCCAATATGCAGCAAACCTAAATTGTGTCTTATTTCCGTGCAACTTTAAAAAAATGGCAAAAGAACCATTAGTAGGTACTATAAATGGCTACATGAAAACTCTGAGTACCCATACAAACTAAAATGTAGCTTTGAAGAAAAAAAATTAAATAGTTTGAAGTCCACCGGCACTTACATAGTAACCAATTCAAGAACATTTTATAACATTTAGATTAAAAAATCAAAGTATATTAAAAAGTAGTCTAGAAATGACAAACATTTTCAAAGAAAACTTCTACATACCAAATTATTAAATAATTGTGGCTGACAGAATTTCACCAATAAGGAAAAAGATGGGTCTCAATTTTCAACTTAACCTGATTACAGATATGATGGTTTCTATGTTATGTGTATACTGAAGTACAAGTAAGTGATACTGAAGTGTAAGTGAGTATAATCTCATCTCTCAGCAATATTTAAAGCAATAAAAACAACAGATATAAAGTTATTTCTGGTGTCCTGAGTCTGAAGGGCAAGGAAAAGCTACATTAACAGGAAGCAGAGTGGAGAATGTAATCAGTTGAAGTTCATTTCACTGAATGTCAGGGGATCCAGATTATCCTTCTGGTCTTGTCACTAGCTCTGTGAATGGATCCAAGCAGGGAATTTAACATCTAATTTCTATTGTATGAATTAAGACCCAGGCTTAACTTTCCTAGGTTTCTTTATCCATAAAATAAGGGCAATATCAACTACCTAACCGATCTCATAAGGTTGTTTGGTGGATTAAAAGAGGCAAAAAAAAAAAAAAAAAAAAAAAAAAAAAAAAGTGTCTTAGACGGTGTGTAAATGAAAAAGCTCATCTTTCTAATGGCTAAACTGAGAGGCAGGTTTATACTTTCAACATCATGAGAACTGTATTTTTACAGGAATGAAAAGAAGAGCATTTACTCTTCCCGTAACACTTTGTCTCTATTTTGATGTTATGGTAAAACTGCAACTTATCTTGTACTGTGATTACATATACATATATCTCTTTGGGTACATGGTAAATCACATGGATACACCATCATATTTGAACCATTCTATTCACCATTTAACTTATTTCCACTATTTAAGCTCATCGTTATACAGCGTTAAGAAGACCATGTTAATAACTCTTGGGTAGCCTCAATAATTATTTCTGTGAAATATTCAATGACTATTTCCAGGCATATTATAGAATTACTTTATAAAAGGAATTGCATTTGACAAGAAGTTCAAATCGGACAAAGAAAGGCATATTTTTCAATGATTTTATCACTATATTAGATAAACATAAAACTATATGAAACTCAATTTATTATAATCTGCAAATTTAGTAAAACCAAACAACAAAAAGAGAACAAAGCCCTAACAAATGTGAAAAGCAAATCTAACCATCCAGAGATTTTCTGTAACAGCATTTCCTTGATATATGGGTAGATGGAACAAGGATGTCTGTGACCATCTACACTGAAGGTGCCTGATCTCAGGAGAGAGAACCCTAGTGCTTCTCCACTGAGATCTCAGGAATCTTTCCTATTCATAATTGGAATTTATAGTAAAAGAAAATAAAAACTGTTTTAAGAAAAAACTATTTTTTTTCTTAAAAAGGAAAAAAATATGAGGAAAACAAGATACATGGGAAAGATTAGTCCAAAGGACTAATGGACCACAACTACCACAGCCCCCGCCAGACTGAGTCCAGTACAACTAGATGGTGCCCAGCTACAACCACTGACTGCTCTAACTGGGATCACAACAGAGGGTCCCAGACAGACCTGGAGAAAATTGTAGAACAAAACTCTAACTCATAAAAAAAGACCAGACTTACTGGCCTGACAGAGAATGGAGAAGTCCCGAGAGTATGGCCCCCGGACACCCTTTTAGCTCAGTAATGAAGTCACTCCTGAGGTTCACCCTTCAGCCAAAGATTAAATAGCCCCATAAAACAAAACGAGACTAATGGGGCACAACAGCCCAGGGACAAGGACTACAAGGCAGAAGAGGACAGGAAAGCTATAATAGGGAACCCAAGGTTGAGAAGGGACAGTGTTGACACGTCGTGGGGTTGTTAACCAATGTCATAAAACAACATGTGTACTAACTGTTTAATGAGAAACTACTTGTTCTGTAAACCTTCATCTAAAGTATAATCAAAAAAATTAGAAAGATTACCGATTATAGCTTAAACTTTCCAGGGAAGGAATACACAAACGGTAGGAAAGAAGTACCTCAGTGTTGCGGTGAGAACAGAACTGTATCCAGTGACAAAGGACACAGCACAATGCCTCGCACTTCAGTGCTCAAATCAAAGTGGAAGCTGCAATGTATACTAAATTGGCCACCAGATGGCATGACAATTCCAGTCTCTGAAGGGAGACCAAGTGTTACCATTTTTCCTAACAAACGAACCAGTCGTTGTGCTTTTAAATTTAAAAGCAAAATATTAGAAATAATTCGTATTTTGATGTAGTTTTATTTCACCCATTTTGTAAGGTCACTATGAGCAGGACTCGACTTGACAGCAACAGGTTTGGCGTGGTTTGTAAGATAGTCTTGGAGGAAACAGATTTCTATATGCAATTATCGATTATGATCCCAAGCAGTACTCATTTTGTGATATGGGCTATGGAGAAAAAAAAGTCATCTTCCAATCATAAAATTTTAGAGTTAGAAAAGATTTTAGAGTCTAGCCATCTCATTTAATAAATAAGGAAATTACTAACAAGAGATGGAAAGAGACTGGGAAAAGGTCACCAAGTTAACAGCAGCAATAATTAAATTTTTGATTTCAATTTCAGGGTTCTCTCCACCAAAGAAGTTTTACTTAAAAACAAAAACCAGTTATTTCCAACTCTCTATGGAAGGTGAGACTTTAGGCACAGGCCTCATTTCTCCTTTTTCAATGTGTTCTGATAAACTTTAATGTAAAACTTGAGTTCAACAGCCTTAAGCTCTTTAGATCATGGAAACAACAAAACAAATACAGCTACAAATCTAGCTGACTTAGCCTCTGCCATATTTCATATCAACAATCAACCAGATACTTTGAATCTCACTAAGAGAATGCAGTAACATAACAAAACTCCCCGTGTGAAAGAATTTTTTATTGCTTTAAAAATGTTTAAACCTTGCCTCTGCAAAGTTGCCTATTTCTTTTCCTTTATCACTTACATTAAAAAAGCTCTTTTCCAGTATCACTCACATTAAAAAACTATCTATAAAAGCAATACAGTATAAAAGTTATGTAATCTGACCTAGAGTTTCCCTTGAACCACAGGTAATATAATAATATAAACTCAAATAAAATAAAATAAGATGCCCTACCTAAAATAACCTTTACCATCATCTTCTTTTATTTCTAAAGACACAGAGAAGGTAAAGATGTCACTGTCAGGAGTCTGGGGTGCAGCAGTGGCTGAAAGTGGGGTCTGCTTGGCAGAACGGCGGAAGGCAGTGGCAAAACTGTAAAGTATCCGGCTTACCTAAAGTCACATATAATCAGATACGTTAGGAAATGAGCCATTATCAGGCTGGAAGCTTACTTAATTTGTTGGGTGTTGGAGGGGGCAAGCGACAGTGATTACTAATCTTTCCCCCACTTATTTCTTTTGGTAAATTATCTAACACAAATTAGATAATAATAACAGTAACAGTAGGCCTATAAAGCAAGCTACACTAAAAATGGCCAGAGAAGGAGTTTTAAAAAAACAAACAATAGTAAACACTTGAAATCCAACTGAAAAAATGGCTTCCTAAATTGTCAGAGACTATCTGAACATACTTACAATAATATAAATAGCCCTAACAAAGTTAGCTCTAAAAGAATGGTCTGCATGGTGTTATTGTTGGAACCAGGATGCCTATCTTACCCAATCAAGAAGCAGTCAACTGGTCCCCTCTGACACTCTTAGAAACAACAAGGTTCTGGTTAACCAGATTTTTATTTTGTTTATATTGAAGCCCATCAGGTTGGAATCAGTAAAGTACTAGCAGAGAATTTCATCTGGCTGATGAGTGACCATAATAAATACTGTAATCACTTCAACCAGGTGAGGGCACTGATGAAATTTCACTTGCAGGAAGTTTTGTGTTAAGGACTTACAGCTTCTTGTATTTCACACCGGAAGACATGTATTCTGAAGAGCTCTGCATTGTAATGACTTTCAGTGAAAGCAAAACAGTCACTCTCAGGAGTTCCATCATGTCCTCTGACACAAAAGAGAATTTTGTAGATAGGGTAGTTTGCTATTTCAGTGTTTGTCTGAGGATCTAAGAGTCTATTCAGAAAAGAAGATACAAACAGATCAAAGGAATTAGGGACAATATGCACTATATCCATAGTAGGAATCAAAATTCATCTTTCTAGCAAGAAAATCATATAAATCTTTTTTAGTATGCTAATCATATTAATCCTAAATCTTGATAAATAAGTCATATGTGGATTTATTACATTATTGACTATATAATTCCAAGATTACCTAGGAAGAGCACCTAACCCAGGCTGGAAGGCACGCTGATTAAAAACTAGAAACCTAGGGCAAGACAGATGAGTTTCCTCACTTCTTTTAATGCTGTTGTTATTAGTTGCCATTGAGTCGATGCAAACTCATGGAGACCCCATGTGTTACAGAGTAGAACCGCTTTATAGGGTTTTCCCTCATCTTAAAAATTAAGGGACTGGACTAAAATACTTCACATTTATCAACAGGTTTTTGTAATTTTCAAAATCAGTATGAAACTCTGTATTGAACTATGTCATGCTAGTATTTGTATCAGAGGTATGCAGAAATTATAAATTAGCTTGTTAGGCAGGCTCTCTGGTGAACGTATTTCAATTATCCCCAAAACATTTAAATTTCCAATATGCTATGCAAGACTGGGGATGGGGAAACTATTTATAAAACTGTTACAAATGAATGACCACTTTTTATGAGGGTCACAATCCTGGAAAGACATAAGTGCCTGATAAACTAAACATTACATAAATGAAATTATTATGTATTTTGTTGACTAATCCTTCTTTCTAAAGTAATAAGTTAGCCTTACCTCACAGTTCCTTCAGACACATTCGGCACTGAGAGGGTTACATCTAGTGAAATCTGACACTGGCTTCTTAAAATGGACATCATCCTTAAAGCTTCCACTTCACTCCTGGGGGCATTTACTGAGGCACAGCCTAAATAAGTTAGTTTACTGAAAACTACACTGTCCTCATCAGCCACTGGTGTGAAAGGACTTGACATTTCAGAATCTGAAAGAAACAATAGGATGATTATTTTTGCTTTGACATTTTGTTGATGTAACAGCAAGTAAAACTAAAAAAATAACATTTAAATTCTAAAACTAAGTAATAATGAGATAACATGCTATACCCCCAGGAGAAATGCCCCAGAAAGCCAGAAATTTCACACTAACCAGCTGTTGTGGAGTCATTTCCCACTTATGGTGACCTCGTGTGTATCAGAGTAGAATTGTGCTCCATACGGTTTTCAATGGTTGATTTTTTGGTAGATTGCCAAGTCTTTCGAGGCACCTCTGGGTAGACTCAAACCTCCGACCTTTCAGTTAGCAGCCAAGCATGTTAACCATTTGCAGCACCCAGGGACTCCAATCCAGGACTTCGAAGCAGTTCTGTCAGGTTCAGTCATGGCCGACAAAGTGAAACCCGAATGGACCCAAATTTTAAAAATGTGGGTGAACTGGAATGACAACTGGAACAGGAAAAAATACAGGTCGAAGCCCTGCTACAAACTTAATCACCCTTTTAGAAAACAAGGGCAGTATGTGTGTGTGTGCTGCATAGCAACCAAATCTCTTGAACAGCAGAATTGGAAACAGCAGTGCCCCGCTCAAAGGCGGCAGCCAACCACGCTGCTTTGAATGTGAGTTGCTCTCCACAATCCTGGCCATAATCCAATCTCCCGCATCAGACTCCTGAAAGGGCTCACTACGCCTCGTCCAAGTCTCCCATTCCAGAGCTTCGGCCGGTAATTTTTTTTTCCCATTTCGGTTGTCATTCTGCTTCACCCAAATTTTAAAATTTTGGGTCTGTTCGTATTTTCCTTCATCGGCCATGACTGAACCAGTTTGAACCAGTTTGAAGCCCTGCTCCTATCTCACACTGTAAGTCTGTAACTAACACCAAAATTTCCAGGTACTGCTGTAGCATCAGTTGCAAACCTAAAAGGTGACTCGAGGTTCAGATTTGACTTACCTTCCTGCCTCTTCTAATTTGTTTTTACTTTATAAGTTATATTTAGGACAAATGTAAATTTAGTATTTTACCTCTCAGAAAAATCCTATCTCTGTCTTCTTTCTGATCTGTGCTGCTATAATTATTTCTCTTACTCATTATTTTAGCCTCTTTATTATGTTCTCTTAATCCCCTTGCTTTTATTTTCTCAATAAACATCGACAGTTTTAACACCCTATTTTCCCAGTGAGGCTTTATAACTGTCCTCCCTGCTATGCCTTTCTACTGTCTTATCCTAGCCTCTCTTTATACTAGGCAATTACTCCCATAGAGCTACACAAGCCTAGAGCAAACATCTATTCACCAAGCATTATCCCTTCATTTCTCTAGCATCCTCCTCAAATTTCTTCTTTTACCTGAAAAAAATCTTTAAGCAATCTAAAAAAAGATTCTCTCACTGTCACTTAACTAGTTTCTCTTTTTACAGTATAACTGAAATACACTTAAAGGCACATGTAATTGACTCCTTTCACATCCCTCTAGACTTAGGGGGATCTGGAGATTCTACAGAACACAGATGATGCCTTTTGCTCTGAATCAAATCTAGTACAGGGTGGACATTCAAATATTAAAAGCAATAACCTTCAGTTACGCAAGCAATGCAGCAATCCTAACCTCCTTGTCCTGGTTTCACTGGCAGGCTCATCTCTGGTTTTTGGAGCCCTACTAATGGCACAGGGTTAACGGTGGATGAAGCTGACAGTTGATTAGAAAGAGGCGCATCTCCTTCACCATCCAGGTGTGATCTTTCCACAAGTTCCTTGTCCCCTGGCTGCTCGTCCATTGGAGGATCCATCAGCACATCTGCTAGCTCTTTTTGGAGCTGCTGCTCACTTCCATTCCCTACAATCTGAGGGTCACAAATACATGCGGTCAGCAAAGTGAGAAAGAGAGGCCAGTACTGAATAAAATGGGTCTACATTCTCAAGACAGTCATCAGCATTTCTTTTGAATACAAAGATATCTTCTGAATGTTTTTAAAAAAATAAAGCTGCAACAAAAAAAAGCTGCAGCTGTTCTCTTAACTCCTAAAATTTTTCATGAAAACCTGCAGAGTGAATTTCACACTAATAATGTCATAGCCTACCAAAGTTATTGAAGTCCTCTAGTGTCCTAAACTAACAATTAAAATATCTGCAAATTGTCTGGTGAAAAATAATGCTTTGAGGAATACCTTTAATAGCTTTTCTTACTCTAAAAAAAAAAGGGGGGTAGGGGAATGTGTTTGCTTCCAAAAGTATTTATGAGGCAATAAATTTCCCACATATATTTTACCATACCTGTTATAATAAGTCTTTTGTATTTTCTGATATGAACAGATTTTTAAAGTTCTGAAACATTTGAATAAACCTGGGGAGTTGAATGTATGAAACAGTCCTGAGGGAAAACACACCCTATTTCAATAATGTCAACTATTTTTCTGGAGTCATGATGGCATATTATTAGTTGCTGAATAAGTAAGTAAAATCGAGTGAAGACTGCCCAGTGCTAAGGAACATCACAAGTGACAAAACTCAGTATTGTCATTAAGTACTTATTCAAGAAATGCTAGATCCCCTGAGAATGAGAACAAGACAAGGATGCCCTTTATCACCACCCCTATTTAACACTGTGCTGGAAGTCTTAGCTAAAGCAATAACGTAATAAAGAGAAATTAAGGGCATTCAAATTGGAAAGAAGCAAACGATCTCTATTCGCAGATGACATTATCCTGTACACTGAGAACCCCAAAGATTCCACAAGAAAATTACCAGAACTAATAGATTCAGCAGAGCAGCAGGACATAAGATCAACATACAAAAATCAGTTAGATTCCTATATACCAACAAATACAACTTTGAAAAGGAAATCAGGAAAACAACAGCATTTATAATAGCTCCTGAAAAGATAAAATACTTAAGAATAAAGCAAACCAGGGACATAAAAGACAAAAAAACTACAAAACACTATTGCAAGAAACCAGAAGAGACATAAATGGAAAAACATACATAAATAGAAAAATGGAAAAACATACCATGCTCATTGATAGGAAGACTCAAAATTGTGAAAAGTCAATCCTACCCAAAGTGATCTACATATATATAACCCAATACCAATCCAAATGCCAAAAGCGTTCTTTATTGAGATGGAAAAACTAATCACCAACTTTATATGTAAAGGAAAGAGGCCCCAGATAAGCAAAGCATTACTGAAGAAAAAGAACAAAGCAGGCGGCCTCGCACTACCTGAGCTCGGAACCTACTACACAGCCACAGTAATCGCCAATAGCCCAGTACAGTACAATGACAGACACGTAGACCAACAGAACAGAATCAAGAATTCAGATGTAAATCAATCCACCTATGGTCAGCTGATCTTTGACAATGGACCAAAGTCCATTAAATGGGAAAAAGACAGTCTTTTTAACAAACAGTGCTGGCAAAACTGGATGTCTATCTGTAAAAATATGTCTATCCCTCACACCATACATAAAAACTAACTCATAATGAATCAAAGACCTAAATATAAAACCTAAAATGATAAAGATCACACAAGAAAAATTAGGGACAACACTAGGGGCCCTAATACATGGCATAAATTCAATACAAACCATAACTCACGACCACTAACACCAGAAGATAAACTAGATAACGAGGAGCTCCTGCAAATCAAACACTTATGCTCATCAAAAGACTTCACCAAAAAAGTAAAGAGAACCTACAGTTTGGGAAAAAAATTTTGGCTATGACATATTTGACAATGGTCTAATCTCTAAAATCTACAGAATACTTCAACACCTCAGTAACAAAAACACAAATAATCCAATTTAAAATTGGGCAAAGGATATGAACAGACACTTCACCAAAGAAGACATTCAGGCAGCTAAAAGACACGTGAGGAAATGCTTGCAATCATTAGCTATTAGAGAAATACGAATCAAAACTACCATGAGATACCATCTCACCCCAGTGTTACTGGTACAAATCAAAAAAAACAGAAAACAACAAATGTTGGAGAGGTTGTGGGGAGACTGGAATGCTTATGCACTGCTGGTGGGAATGTAAAATGGTATAACTACTATGGAAAACGATATAGTGCTTCCTTAAAAAGCTAGAAATAGAAATATACAATCCAACAATCCCACTTCTAAGAACATATGCTAGAGAAATAAGAGCTGTCACATGAATAGACGTATGCACACTCATGTTCAATGCAGCATTATTCACAATAGCAAAAAGATGGAAACATCTTAAGTGCCCATCAACAGATGAATGGATAAAGAAATCATGGTACAAACACACAACTGAATACTATCCAATGATAAAGAACAATGATGAATCCGCAAAACATCTTACAACATGCATGAATCTGGACGGCATTACGCTGCGTGAAATAAATCAATCACAAAAGGGCAAATACTGTATGGGACCACTATTATAAAAACTCAGAAAAGGTTTACATAGAGGGGAAAAAAAGCAGTCTTTGATGGTTAGGAGGGAGGGTAGGGCTGGAGAGGGGAAATCACTAACTAGATAGTAGACAAGTGTTAACTCTGGTGAAAGGAAAGACAACACACAATACAGGGAAAGTTAGCACAACTTAACCAAGGCAAAGCCATAGAAGCTTCCTAGATGTATCCAACCACCCTGAGGGACTGAATTACTGGGGCTGAGGGCTAGGGACCATGGTGTCAGGGGACATCTAGGTCAACTGGCATAACACAGTTCATAAAGAAAATGTTCTACATCCTACTTTGGTGAGTAGTGTCTAGGGTCCTTAAAAGCTTGCTAGTAGCCATCGAAAGTACATCTATTGGTCCCATCACTTTTGGAGCAAAGGAGAATGAAGAAAGCCAAGATACAAGGAAAATATTAGTCCAAAGGACTAATGGACCACATGAACCACAGCCTCCACCAGCCTGAGCCCAGAAGAACTAGATGGTGCCTGGCTACCACCGCTGACTGCTCTGATAAGGATCACAATAGACGATCCAGGACAGAACAGGAGAAAAATGTAGAACAAAATTTAAATTCACAAAAAAAGACCAGACTTACTGGTCTGACAGAGACTGGAGAGACCCCTGAGACTATGGCCTCCAGACATCGTGCTAACTCAGTACTGAAGCCACTCCCAAAGTCTACCTTTCAGCCAAAGATTAGACAAGCCTAAAAAATAATAACATACATGAAGAATGTGCTTCTTAGTTCAATCAAGTATAGGAAAGCTAATGGGCAACACCTGCCCAAAAACAAAGACAGGAAGGCAAAAAGGGACAGGAAACCTGGAAGAATGGACACAGGGAACCCAGGATGTAAAGGGGAAGGGGAGAGTGCTGACACATTACGGGGACTATACAATTTGTGTATAAACTTTTGAATGAGAAACTAATTTGTACTGTAAACTTTCACCTAAAACATACACACACACACACACACACACACACAAATGAAATGCTAGAAAAGCTAACAAAATAATTAATTTAGGAAAAGGAAGTCATGAAGAAAAAAGGGGCTGACTTAGGAGGCTTTCTGAAGACCAAAGCCTGACAAAAAGTTAAAATGGGTGCGGTTATGAGACTGCGAAAAGGAATGAGGTCTATCGAATAAAATTATCACAAAAGTTAGGAAACAAAATTCCAATAACAGCAGTACCTCTAGGCAACCAAGGAACCCAGTTAAAACATCTTTTATTGTTTTGAGCTTTTATAACTATAAATTTCAAGTGCCTCTGGCTGTAAATTATTATTGGGAAACAGTCTGAAGCCTTTTTTGCTGACATTTTCCCAAGGAAATTCTAACACTTAAGCTACTCTCGCTTGGAAATAAAAGCCAGACAGGTGCTCAGCCCCTTGGTTTCAATGACAAGTTCTGCTTCTGTGAAGTTCATTTTATGTTTTGTGTTATTGGTAACGGAACTACAAGTACGTTAAGTAATTTTAACTATTATGCCTGATTCTGCACATACAGAACTGCAATCAGATTTCTTTTTCCAAAAGTTCTGCTTTAAAACATTTTATATAGCACTTAAAAAAGAAAGTAGTGCTTAGTTCCACTTATCCTCTCAAAACTGGAGAAGAAATACTGTATCATTCGGAGTTAACAAAATATACCCAATTGATCCTAAAATTACTGTTTTCTCAGGGGAAAGGGAAATGACATGCAGCAGGATAGATACAGCTTCCTGAAAACAGATGGGAGATATTAAGAGTCTGTGTTTAAGCAGTTAGTAGTTACAAGTGGGAAGGCTATCATTAAAAAACTGAACTAAACTGAAGAAAAGACTATATTTCACATGTTATGAAGTGCTGTTTTACTCTTTGGTACATGGGTTGAGTAAACCCAAGTTTTCTGTTGGACAGGCTGCCTACACTGTAACAGAAATATACATAACTCTGGAAAGGAACCATGTTTATTTGTTTGCTTTTTGTGTTTATGCATATTTATCTTGAATTCTTCCCTAGTTTATTATTTCTATAAAGATTAAGAATTGTCTTCTAATTTCTTAACTCCTCCTTAAAGGCTAGGAAAAAGTAATGTACACACATGATAATGATGATTTTTAAAAGCTGTTTAAAAATAGCAAGCTAACAAACGCCTTGGATACTCAGGTCAGATACAGTACTCAGCAATTATCATGTTAATTTGTGAACCTTCAATCCAATCCCAAAATTACTACCTGTAACGTTACAATACACGATACTTAAACCTATTAAATCTTGTTTTTTGTTTGTTTTAAAAGACAATCAATTAATCTTGACTAGTCCAAACTGGGAAACATTCAGCAATGCCTGTCAAGGTTCTCAAACTTTGGCGTGCATCACAATCACCTAAATAGCTTGTTAAAACAGAGACTGTTGGGCCCTATCCCAGA